GCTACTGCTACTGCTACTGCTACTGCTACTGCTACTGCTACTGCTACCGCTACTACTACTGCTACTACTACTACTACCACTACTACTACTACTACCACTACCACTACTACCACTACTCCTACCACTACTACTACTACTACGACGACGACTACCACTACTACTACTACTACGACGACCACCACTACTAGTACACCCACGAGTACTACTACTAATTACGACTACTAGTACTACTACCACTACTACTACTACTACTGCTGCTACTACTACTACTACTACTACTACTACCACTAGTACTAGTACTAGTACTAGTACCACTACTAGTACCACTACTACTATTACTAGCACTACTCCTACTCCTACCCCTACTCCTACTACTACTACTACTACCACTACTCCAGAGGCCCTTTATATCGAATCGGACCCTTCAAAAAAGCGCGCCAAAAAAATTCCGAGGGGGGGCCCACAAACTAATACGCTTCTAACATTTGTAATTAGTAGTAGTAGTAGTAGTAGTAGTAGTAGTAGGAGTAGTAGTAGGAATTTGGAGTAGCTGTAGCAGTAGTAGTGTAGTAGAAGTAGTAGTAGTAGTAGTAGTAGTAGTAGTAGTAGTAGTGGTAGTGGTAGTAGTAGTAGTAGTAGTAGTAGTACTAGTTCTAGTTCTAGCTCTAGTACAAGTACTAGTGGTGGTTGTGGTTGTGGTCATCGTCGGCGGCGGCGGCCGCCGCGGCGGCTGCGTCCTAACTGTAGTAGTGGTTGCAATCATGGTGTTGTTACCAGTAATTGCTCGTGGTCCCCACGCGTTTTTTTTTCGTTTTCTTCACCCTTCACTGGGGCAAACATTTTCCACCGACGCAAAAGATCTCGTTTACGTCGACATCGCAGATGCTCTACAAAACCTTGCCGAACCATTGCGCAAACTCCCTGAGGGTCTGAGGGTACCGTCGTCGCAAGAAACCTTCCCAGCCATCGCAGAAAATTTTGGTTGCCAACAAATCCCGAAACTGGAAACCCATCTCGACACAACTACTTTTGGCCATCCCTTCATTTCCAAACCGTCGAGATATGGATGTTGGTTTGCCTGAGTGGGCTGGAAACCAGCAACTGTCAGTCCAGTGTCAGGAATACAGAGCGCAGACCAGTGCAGACCCCACAGAGTCCTGTGACTTGACGAGGCAAAAAGCACCACAGAGATCTTGAAGTCTCAAGGCGCACAGATTTCAGGTCCATGGAAGTCCTAAGAGAAGAGAGGAACACTTTTGATATGGGTTTACAACCTACGGCAGGGACGAACAGGGTAGTAATTGTGTTGTTTCGACATGTTTTCACCCAGTCTGAAGCCCGAACTAGGTGGTGCGCAAGGTGGGAAGAACAAGAATAAGAAGAAAAACAAGAAGTCGGCTACGAGGTCCGCAACCTTATGTTTTTTGGGCTCACAGCAGGTCTTCAAGTCATGTGTCGAGGACGGCTTCGTCCTCAGACCCAACTGAGCCAACAGGACGTGTTGGCCTTGGAAGGAACGAACCGTGGTAGTAGATTCTGTAGGATTTAGTATAGCTCAATCATCTAAGGTGGAGCCCTGGTTGCCAAACTCAATCGTCGCATTGAGGAGCTGAAAGAAGAGTGATGGCCTCACCATGGTTTGGTAACGGCTAAAGATTGAAGACAGGCATCAGAACATTTTGTTTACAATATTTTGCAATAATTTAGTTGTATACTAATCTTGACCTACACGACACCTAGGCGTCGCGTGCGCCAATCCAACCAGGATAAGGTGCAGATTGGCCCAAACCTCTTAGAATTGCTACCTGAGAAGTTGCTGGTAATATGGACCCAAGAAGTAAGAGACAAACATGATGCGTCATGCGGAGCTCGGAGGATGTATATAAACAAGACTCACAAGACTCTTGGCGTTCAACAACATCCATTGTTCTGATCGCAGTGTTTGAGGCGAAGGCTGAAGAGATTCGCAAAGGAAAAGAGACAACTCCAACTTCATCCAGGCTGAGCCGTAAAGCTCAGCTTGGTTTGGTACTCTGAAGTTGTAACGGTCGTTGTCATGTTTCTTTATCAGTCCAACATTTTTTGAGTTTTGATGGGCGTCTCTTGAAGCCGGTTGCAACCAATATCAAATACATCAATGTTTTTTTCTGACAGGAAAACCAATACCCTGGAGGCACTGCTTGAAGGTTTATTTGGCAACAGCATACAAGCTTTTGATGGAATGACATCATCTTTGCTTCGACTTTAGCTGATGTGTCCTTTGCCAACACTACTTCTGCCGCAGTGACAATATTTTCTTGAATGTGCGCACTTTGTACAGGGGAAGCGTCGCAAGTTGGAGGAGGATCCTGATGCTGCTGAGCCAGAAGTGGGGTGCTTGATATGGTATGTACCGTGCTTCGTCAGCTGCAACATATAGGCTCATAAGTTGCTTAGGCTGGTCGATTAAGCTTCGAGGCGTGGGTATGCTATATTTCCCGGACGCGGGGATGTGCGTGTGTGTGTGTGTGTGTGTGTGTGGTGTGTGTGAAGGCCGTGATTAATGTATAGCTGTGCCAGCGTATGTCTACAAATACTGTGTATATGATGTAAATTATATCGACATATAATTAGCTATACTCGTATGCCCGTATGCTGTAATATGTTTTTACTTAGTGCATAGCAGTCAGCACCTTTTCTGCTGCAAAGCACTCAGTTGGTGTCTCTGGCCTCACGGTCTTCGCCGTCCTATGGCCTGAAGCCACCACC